AAAGAAAGACACCTGATTTTCCTTTTATGTCTTCGGTAATTACTTTATAAAAAGCTGTGGATGTGTACACATATTTATATATATATTTCTAAGTCTTTATTGTTATGATTTTGTATATAGTACAGCTACTCTACTTTACTCTACCCAATGATATGCATTCAATGTAACCGCCTATAATGTATTACCATGTGCTGTATGCTTAGGCTGAATGTTTGTAATTTCTTGGTTATTTCTTCCGATGTATGTGTGTGAATGTTGTTTGTATGTTGTACTTGTTTGTTATTTGTTTTCTTGGGACCCCCTTGAAAACGAGGTGATTCACCTCAAGGGGTTTATCCTAATAAAGAAATTTGAATATAAGGGGTTCCAGAGATATCACTGTGCAAAACACACCGGTCAATTTTTACCGAAAATAGTATGGGAAGGGGGGTATGACCTAACGCAAGAGAAGGGTTAATAAACCTGAAAAGGCAAATGAAATAAATTAAATGAAAAAGAGATTTAGAAATCAAGTTCCTGCCTTTGATGATGGATTGGGGAAAATGGATAAGCTCCAGAAAATAAATTAATGGACGTAAGGAAAAAAAGTTATCTTGGACCGTAAATTACGATATAAAATGAAACTTGACAAGATCTGTTTATCTTTTCATACATAACCATGCTCAGAAGCCTGACACCAGCTGATCTCATAGTCATAGCGCAGCACTCTATACTTTAACTTATTGCACTAAGACATGTTACACAGCCCTGAAATAACCAGCGCTGCAACATTCTTGCTAGAAAGCTGTGTTTCATCGGAGAGTGAAAAAGTACTTTGTTCTGTCAGAGATTACATTTTATTTTGATCAGTGCACAAGATTTAACTGAATAGTGCATAACAAGAATACTGTAGGCACATATTTGATGGGATACATCACATATATTATCATCTTACATTCATTGCTGTCTCAACCTAAGAAAAAAAATATAGTTTAGAATGTGAAGGGCAGCTTAAAAAAAAAAAAGACGTTCAAACAAAATAGTAATAAATTAGTAAAATATTCTTTAAACTCTCATTTCTGTGTAATGTGAAAAATATATTTTTTAAACATTTCCCTCTCATTTTTGGTAAATCATATTTTGTGAAAAATATTCTTCAAAAGCATAACAATAATACTGTAGGCACCTATTCAGGGACAACTTGCTACATACAATTGCACATCAGAAAAAGGCATTCAAAAACATACAATCTTGACACAAAATACTACACGTTTTTTAAAGAAATTCACTTTCTGAAAGCCTTTTGCGTTAAGATAATAACAAAATGAATGGCAGCACCACGCATCACCCCCCCCCCAGGTGATGAATGTTTGGTCCATGTTGGAGCAGCTCCCCTCAGTCTGCACACACACTGAAAGTAAAAAAACAGAGGGGGCAGCCATTAGCATTCAAAGCTACAGACGGAGAATCAGCACTTCTAGAACAGGGATTATGGGATGCTACATGAGACCTTTTATTTACTGTTGAAAAAGAGTACAATAGGGGACCTTTAATTACAATTTTCAGGTACTTGTACTTTAGTTAAGTATTTTTCATTTAATGCTAATTCTACTCCACCATTATATATTACATACATATTTTGAGAAATCCAATATAGTACTTTTTCACTCCATTACCTGACCTTATTTAGTTTACAGATTCGGATTATTAGCTCACACAAAATATAAATCCACTAATAAATAAACATTGACATTAGTATAGGTGAAGATGTGCAGTAGCAGTATATTAAGTAATGAAGCTGTAGTTTTACCGGCTGTGATGAACACATCAATAATCAGAATCCAGTCATGTTATAGATGATTCTGAAACCAGATATTACGCATAACGAGTACTTTTACACAGTATATTTTGATGCCAATTATTTTTTACTTTTAGGTAAGATTATGAACGTGTTTTGAGTCCGTCTGGAAATGGAAAGAGGACGCAGGACTGAGACGGGAACACAGCTATGAGATATTATTGATCAACTCATCGTTATCAGCACTCACTCGATCGTATGCAAGCAGTATTTCTGGTTCTTGGTCAGCTCCACCAACACTTTGAGTCCTGAGTTTTCCAGGTTGTTGCCCATCAGATGCAGCTCTGCCAGGTGTTGGGGGTTGGCCTTCAGGGCGGCAGACAAGAACTGGATGCTCCTGGAGGTCAGGCCGCAGGTCCTCAGTCTGCAGGGGAACACCAGGAGAAACCAGCTCACTGTAGATGACCCTTCATTAATCCCAACGTGGAAGTTCAGATTTCTACTTTGTATTGTATACAAACGTTACAAATACACACAGGACCTCTACACATGAGGTCTGAATACATATTTATGTATTTGCATCTATTTATTGATCAAGGGACAATACACATGATCTAACATGGAGACTTTAGTTGTGGAGTCTATTTTTATATAACATTACAAGAGGGATTCTTATTATGACATGATATGCTTATTGTGCTATGACTATGGAATAAATAGACACAATCACCAATCCCAGGTTCTGATGGGTTGGATACGAAACGAAGGGAATAGTAATAGAAGAAAGTTTAGCCGAATTAGAAATGTTGCAAAGACCAGGTGCAGACACTGTAGAGACAATGAGTTATTGAAAACAGGAGATCGCCTTGGACAGTGTGTTCTCAACGCAGACGCATAACTGGGAACTAGTATAATGGACTACAGAGCTACCAACCCTTGTCCACACACCGCCTGATTTGAATATTTTGAATAAAATCCTACAATTTTCAAATATAATATACTATGTAAGACTCCTTAAAAAACACCAAACAATGTTGCTATCCTAAAAAACATGATTTTGAGGAATATAAACGTAAATCTTTGTACTGTGGGCCCTTCTTTCATAACATGACTTTAATATGCTGACTAAAAATAAATGCTTCTTATTATTATCATTGTGGGGATTCTTTAAGAAGTAAGGAAATCAAATAATAACTTACGACAGCTTCTCGAGTTTACAGTGAGGGCTTCTGATTCCCGTGCAGAGTTTCCTCACTCCCTTGTCCTGCAGGTCGTTCCCCGACAGGTCCAGCTCGCTGAGGATGCTCTCCTTAGAGGCCAGGCCCGAGGCCAGCTCTGCACAGCAGTCATCCGTCAGGCTGCAGTGACTCAGGCTGGAATGCAAAACAAGTCACGTTACAGCATAAAGTTCTTGTATTATGTCGCCCGGCCTATCAAAAGCAGTCGCATGTCACAGCAGATCATTTTGAGATTAACATGGATTTATGCCAAAAACTAATGTTTGGTCAATCATATTTTAAAGAGTTGCAGGCAGGGGGGAGCCTATAGAACACACTACAGGAAATAAACCAAACTTCAATAAAAGTGGTGATCAGCAATGTTATACTGTATGTTCAAAAGCCTACTGTGCAAAATGAATGCAAACAAGAATAAGAAACTCTTATCACCAAATTCACACAATACATTTTTTTTTAAGCTTGAAATGTCAGGGTGACATCTTCTGAGATTAAATGTCACGCTCTAATCAGTGCCTCTCCCCTCCCTCCCTCCCTACGTCTCCTTGAAATGCTGATGAACTGTTCTCAACTCAAATAAAGACTAATCTTGGCCTTCAGAATAGTAAACTAGTGTAGCCTAATTCAGATCATACAACCTGTAAAGGAACTTAATGACAGAGGCATTACAACAGGCTGTGTGTTTTCCCGACAAATACACACAGCCCTAAATTAATTAAATTACGTACAACATTGAAGGCTTCTTTTTTATAATCTAGCTCCGTAACTGTTTGATTTTGCTTACATTTTGGAGATCATAAATAATCCATATATTATTGGGAAGCTAAGAATGTCCTCTTTTCAATAGTGTATACAATACTAATGTTTCTGATTTTGATGAAGCAAGTTACATTTGTGTAATGGAGGACTACGGTTTGAAAATGATTTACTTGAGCGCTCTCAGGTGGCTGCAGGGGTTCTTCAGTCCGGCTGATATTTCCCTGACCCCCTGGTCCCCGAGGCAGTTCATGCTGAGGTCCAGCTCTCTCAGCTCCACCGCCTGCCAGTCGGTCTTCTGCGTCAGCCCCTTGTACAGCTGCGACAGGGAGCACAGGACCGTGGCAAGATGAACGCAAGCCCTGCCAGTGATTCCACACCTTGAAACACTGAGGGGAGATAAGAGGAAACAAATCAGTCAACAGTTTGTTCTGCAGAAAATAATTAGCTAGAACGAAACCACACATGTAGAAATAAACGTCGTCATGCAACATCAACCAGGCATACGTGTGACACTTTATGAGTTCATATCTGTTTTCTATCATTGGTGTAGCAACAATACCTACTCATTCAAACCATTTGATGAATAATTAAGACGCGATGCGGCTGCCAGGTTAGTTTACCGTGGCTGGAGTTTTATATGATATGGGACGCATTCCTCCATTAAACGCACCAAAAATGTAAATGTCTACTGTTAGGGAAATGTTTACCCCAGCCCAGACCTTCGACCCAGTTTATTACTCTTTTCCTTCCTTGGAGCTGTGTATGGCCACGCAGTCTTGAGTGAACAGTGAGTAGAGGAGAGGGCTGAGCACGCAGCCTTGAGGGTCTCCGGTGTTGAGGATCAGGGTGGAGGATGTGATGTTTCCCACCCACACTGCCTGGGGTCTGCCCGTCAGGAAGTTCAGGATCCAGTCACAGAGGGCGCTGTTGAGCCCGAGGTCTCTGAGCTTGATGGCCAGCTTGGAGGGCACAATGGTATTGAAGGCTGAACTGTAATCAATGAACAGCATTCTCACATATGTGTTCCTCTGGTCCAGGTGTGAGAGGGCAGTGTGGATGGTGAGGGCTATGGCGTCATCTTGACACATAACAGAGTGTTATAGTTGACACAGAGTGTTTTGCAGGCACTAGGGACATCTGGTAGTCCATGTTATCTGGTACTTGCTCTTAGCAAGGGTCAGGAGCTGTAGTGCTTTGCTTGGTTGTCTTGTCATGGCAATGTTGATTATTCTCTTAGAACTAGTTGAATACTTGGGACTGGGTGAGAGAGCTCCAGAAGTGGTTAGAGAACAAACGTGAATACAAACCTGTATACAAGTTGCATCGCTGCCTGGGCCTGCAGACAGACCCTGAACATGTGTCAGAACAGCAACTAATTCACTGCTCCTCGACTGGATCCTGTTATCGATTAGTCAAGCTGCATTCACAGTAGAAGCGGTAAAACAGCTACGCTGCCATTCTGTTGCCATAAAGAGGTAGAAATTGTGGTAAAGGGCTTTGCTTAATGTGCAAATTATTCCTACTTTGTTGCTGCCTAACTTTCAGTGAGCAACCAATCAGATGACAGTTGTGCTAAGAAGCGCATGCTAGCAGGGGAGGAAACCATAGAGATGTAACTAAGAGTCTAAGACGGCTGATTTCAGGCAAGAGTCTGCACCTATCCTCACGGTAAGCAAAGAGCTAATAGTGTATCATCTGAATGCAGCTTCAGAAAGGCTTTGTTGGCTAGGCCAACGTCATTCGACTAATATCAAAGAAACTTCATTTCATATAATCCTTCATTTCATGTGCTGTGTTGCCAAACATTGTCAAATAAAACCGAAAGAAACAATTATGGGGAAATATGCACCAGGTGCCGTTACCAGTGTGACAGTCGGACATTAAATTACAAACAACTGGAGTTATTGGCATATTCAAATCCACAGAGGCATACTGTTAGCCACGTGACTCTGGAGAAGTATAAAGTTGGAGAAGACATTTTTGCTATAACATTTGGCTTTCTAGGTTTAATATTAACATTAACACAGCTCTAACCTTTCTTGTTAGTTTCCCAGCAGGAAACTAGCACAGAACTCAGCTCAGTGGAAAAGGGTTCAAAGTAACCAATAGATTAATATAAGAGCAAGTCAAACTTACTTGAGCTTCTCCAGTCTACACCATGCGTACATGCCCTCGCAGATGAGTGCAAAGCCAGCGTCTTTCAACTGGTTGTTGCTCAGGTTGAGCTCTACCAGGGAGCTGGTTTCGTGCTTCAGAGCCTCCCCGATATTTTGACAGCTCAACACAGTGAGGCCACAGTGGTACATCCTGCTCAAGAGATACAAAGTGTGACAGGATTATTGGTACATCTATGTCGAGAAGGAAAGCTATTTGAGTTTCAAAGAGATTATACTCACTCCAGCTTCGTTAGCTGCGATATGTCACATTTTATGTAGAGCTCCTTGGTCCCTTTGTCTCCGACCATGTTGATGCTCAGGTCCAACACTTTCAGGCTTCCCGAGTTCTGCTGCAGAGCCGAGGCCAGGCAGCTGCAGCCTTTCTCCTCAATGTTGCACTGTGATAGTCTATGGACACAAATTACATATGAAATCATGAAATGTGCAGAACAAAAAGCCAATATATTATAATGAACAAATGTATTTTGAGATCCAGTTTTCTATTGTTACACATTGAGGTTACTTTGATTGGTTGCAAAAATATATATTATTTTTAGGGCTGTACCCGAATATCCGAATATTCTGTCGTTGG